CATGACACTGTGCAATCCTGTCAGTACACCTATGACACCTGGAGTAACCTTGCAGAAGGCTACACGTCCCCCAACGAGTGAAGAAGCGGACGCCATTGCGTCGATCCCATATCGCCGAACTATCGGTGAACTCAACTATGCTATGCGAACCACTCGCCCCGACATCGCTTACCCAGTTTCATGCCTCTCCCGATACATGGAGAACCCCAGTATCGACCATCATCGTCAACTCAAACATCTTCTCCGGTACATTCGTGGAACTACGGATTTAGTACTCATCTTCGGCTCGTCGAACGAGGGACTCGTTGGACACTCGGATTCGGACTATGCTGCAGATCGAGACGATAGCAAGTCCACCAGCGCTTATGTCTATCAACTGTTCAGAGGGCCCATTAGTTGGAAGTCTCAGAAGCAATCTGTGGTCGCTACCTCGACCACGGAGGCCGAATATATAGGTCTATCGAATGCTTCACGCGAAGCATTATATCTAATCCAGCTTCTACACGACTTCCGCCTTGACCCCGAACTCTACGATCCCGCACTCCTATATGGAGACAACCAGTCCAGTATTGCGCTCTCGAAGAATCCAAGATTCCACGAAAGAGCCAAACATATTCGCGTCCACTACCATCTCATCCGCAACCTCGTCGACACGAACAAGATCGAACTCCAGTACAAATCCACCTCGGAGATGATTGCTGATAGTCTAACGAAGGCATTACCTCGCCCAGCTGGGATCCAGCATCGGGAAAACATGGGACTACGTCGTCAAGACCTGCCAGGCGCTCTGACGAGTGGGAGTGTTGAGAGGTGATCCGTCAGAGCACCGAGCCGGTTCCAGATAAATATATCTAACTGTTCCAGTTCTATGTACCTTAGCTGCCAGTGTCACTGGACGTCATCCACCCTAGTTACTGACCATTTTCTCTTTTCTATTTAAGGATGGCTAGACGCTATACTCGCACCTCAGTCTTTCTACCATTGACTGAGGTGCGCATACCATTCATATTATACTATACATGATACTTACTAGCGGTCCTACAGACTCACGCTACCTTAGGTTAGTTTACACGAATAGAGTCTTTCTACCATTGACTGAGACTCACGCTACCTTAGTTCTCGCTCTTTAACATGCTCGTCCAACTGCCAAGATGTGTACGAAGGGGGCAGATTTCGTGTTTGGAATGTTTTCGACCACCTGTGACGGCGTCAGTGATCATATAACGGCGGGTCTCCTCATCAAGGTGTCCGATGACTCTGATGATCTGCAAAGTACGGTCAGTTGTTTGTTGACGTCAAGTTGAGATACGCCTGTTTACGCGAGAAGCTACCTTCCCATGTGCGCAGTTTCTTGTAGCTTCTCTCTTGCGCTTTCTCACTTGAGCTATCCAGATATTTTATGCCTGAGCGTAGATGGCCAAATATACATCATCATCACCGACATGGCCAACCACAACTACTTGTACTTGTGCGAACGCTATATTCGACTTCTTGAACGCTTTCACGATTTGACAGTACTTGTATGTAGTACTTACATGCAGATGCGGGTGATCTCTCTGAAAATGGGAGGAGAGGTGCACTGGTCCTCGATCAGTTCCAAGATAATGCATAATTTCTGTTATCAAACTCAAGTGAAACAACCAGGAACCTCAATGGACATTTACAGGGCAATGGGCAAATCGTAATCGTCGTCAGTCGTACGTACTAGTAAGGGCCGTGATCATAAAGTGAGAGGGAGAGGGGATGTGCCTGACGGATGTCGTAATTTCAGACAAGTTCCCCGCGTCACGAGTGTCCGAGTAGCCGCGCGGCCCGCGGGGGTGCATTTTAAGCACCTTGACCTTCTGCAGCCTCCCGTGCTGCTCCCGCCCAATCTTTCTCGCGCACACCGAATTCGACTTTCGATACAGTCCCGAGACTCAGGCCTGTCATGGTTATTCCATGAGCTTGGCGGGCGCGCGACTCCCAACCCTCTGGAAGCCGCTCGTCAAGAAGAAAAGTGCGCAGGTCATTAACACGACCACCAAAGATCGCCACTAGGGTTGAGGCGCTGATAGAATGGTCAAAGTGTGCTTGAAAACGAACGATGCGATAACATACTTCGTGCTACCAAAGAACCTGTGCAAAAGGCTGAGCTTGAACCCCTTGTTGGTTGCACGCGCGATTGCACGACGCTTGCCGAGCATTCTGGAGAAATCTTTGGTTGTGATGATATCATGACCGTGCTTGTCCTTGCCGGTAGCTGCCGCAAGCAGCTCTTCAATGAAAGGTACGTCCTTCTTCGCTTGGTCTGGTTCAAAAGCGGTGTCAAAGCCTGAAGACACATTATTCAGTACAGAAGCACCAGGTAGATTTTCTAAATCGCTCACGTAAGAGAGATGCATCGTGTTCAATACCATTGTGCTGGTTAAGTTCTTCCAAATCGAAGGTATCCTTGTTGTAGTTTCTCTTAAGCATAGTAGCAGCAAAGCGCGACGAACATGAGCACATGGTTGGACTGAAGTTGTAGGTTGCCGGGATCTGGTGCGTAACCTCGACAAATGAAAGCCCACGGCCGGTGCGTGAAATAATGCCTATGTTTTAATGTTGTCACGCCACCATCAAGGGCCGAGATGTGCAAAACCACTCACCATGATTGGCCATCGCATTGAGTCCAGGGCATGCGCTACGGGAGTCAGTCTCCTGGGGAGGCCTAAACTCAGGCCAGTGGCCTCCATAGCCTGGGTGACCCTCTGGGGTGACATGACCGACGCGGCGCTTCCGCCTCACGAGGTTGAGGAGCGTGAGGATGACATCCCAACATATGATCGCAACATTGCAGATAAAGTTGGACACGCTGGAAAAGAAACCCATTTTACTTCCCTTGGTTCAAGGATAGTTATATCAGGTGTTGAGATGGGTCGGTCACCGTCGAAGGCGAGGCTGGGGAACGAGAAGCGACGAACAGAATCGCTTCACTTGGAAGCTTTAAGTATATACGGGGATCCGAACAGTACTGTCATTGGATTAACAATGACAAGGTTTCGGTTTGATTGCAAGATTTATAGGGATCCGAACGACGTTCAGCCTGATATCATTGGACTATTAGCAGTGAAAAGGATCCGGCTTCATTGCGAGGTTCTGTAGGGTTCTGTATTAACCGATATAACCGGCATATTTTCCCCGAATATGAATTCTTGATGTAGTATAGCACTGGAGTGAGTATATAAAGGTGTGAGTAAGAGCAACAGTCAGTCTATGCATGGTTAGCCAAATTACACGGTCAAATTACGGACGAACCCGTTCTTCATATATCAAACTTCAGATACTTTTTTCGAGGCATTTAACCTGGTTTAGAATTCGCAATTCTTCGGCGGTTAAGATCGCAAACTCCGGCGGTCAGTAAGTAGCTCTATACCCGAAACCGCGAAGAACACTTGTGCGAACGAACATACGAACGAATCATTTGAGGAACCCCGACGTCGAACGGAGTACCAGGCTGCGAAAGGGTTCATGCACGACGATGGCAGGTCTCCACCAGGGGGTGTGTGATAAATATCGAGACACGCGCATTGCAAGTACTCACATTTTGACGTCAAGTTGGTGTTGAGCGTCTGTTCTACATAAGGATCATATAGGTCTCCTGTTACACGTAGTAGTCAGACCTTGAAAGAGGATGACAACTTACGTTTGAATCGGTTCGATCGAAATGATGACCTGTCCCAATCATGCACAAGTCACGTGATGTGGTGATCCATATTCGTTTCGCATGTTCAATTGAAGTTGAATTGGGTTCTTCGATAACGAGCATGACAGCAGCAGCAAGGTGCGCTCCAGGGCTTGCGTCCACCTCTTACAAATTCCCTTCCGTATTGCGGCACAAAGCGCACCGTGATTCCCGTTGTTTCTCATCTACGTCTCGACGAGCAGCCCACTTGCGCAATCATTATGCGACCCTTGGAGTTCCAATCACTGCGACGAAGGCTCAAATAAAGGCATGGGTCATATTGTCTTCACGAAAGGAGCTGTACCTCACCACTTTGTGATAGACACACTTCTACCAGGTGAGTCGTTCTCACTGGTAGCGCTGAATGGCTACTGATGGAACCACCTCAGCTTAGCAAGAAGTACCATCCCGATGTCACTCAAGACGATGCGTCACGGGGAAAATTCCACGCAGTGAGTGAAGCCTACGCAGTGCTTGGGGACGATCGAAAGCGGTATGTCACGATGCACTCACTGAGCACGCAGTCCTAATTATTTGGATGGCCAGGCGAGAGTATGACCGTAGTCTACGCCACTCATCACCGTCACAACCATTCCCTCAGCACCCACAAGCGACCACAACGCGTCCTTCTCGTCAAACAGGATCACGCAATGCGTGGCAGAATAATCCACGTCACCATCAGCACCCCAATTCTAGTCACGCACATGACCCAAACGCAGCTCATGACCATCCATGGGAGCGTGCTCGTGCTGGCAAATATTCGTATTATCAACCGCCCCCTGGCGCCCATTCGCGCACGTCTTATACGTGGTCGCATACAAATCCATTTTCCAGCCCACACGTCCAACGAGCGACCGGTCGCATGTCTGCAGGTCCGCCACCAGGGACAGGTCCGTCTAGTGGTGGCAGTGAAGAGACGGCTAAGGGAGAACCACGACCGGAGAGAACACAGACGGACGAGGACATAGCTGCAGCGGAGAGTGTCGTAGGGCGTGTGATTGCGGTGTCTGGACTATTGACTTTCATATTAGTGATAGCCCAGATTGCTGGTGCACCTTGGGGCAGTGCGCATGCATGAATGCATTATCTAGAACTGCCTCATAGTCCATGGCCCGTTAGAGGACGTCCTATTGCTACAGTCATTGTTCCGCAAATATTAGATACATCAATACCTGTCACCCCGTCTACTCCACCTTCTGAGTCCTTCAGCGGGTATTATACTTCGTGAGCCACCCATAATCAGGTATCAGTAACCTGTGACGTAGTATCTTCTATGTGTCCCTGCGGCGCGCTGCTTTCACTCTTGTAGTTCTGCTGCAGTCGCATAAGGAAAGCCCTGGTACATCCAAGTATCCACTCCTGCTCTTCCCAGAATCCAAATCGCGAAGCAACGATAATGACTTAGATTCGATTTTCTCCAAATTCTCGTTGCTTTTCTCATTTCCTTCCGTTCTTTGACATCATGAGAGGGCATGACTATCTGGGGGGAAGATGGAACTTCCTGAACATTTAACTTCTCCTTCTTCCTCTCTCGCCTGATCCTGTTCATCGCCGTCCACTATCCGTCCACAGGACGCACACAGGATGCACAATTGGGCTGTGTTATGCACAGCTGCCCGTTGAGTAGTTTAACCGCCTTCAAGCTTCTTCACTCCCCCATGTCTTATATTCCCTCTGACCTATCTTCTGATCTTGTCATCTAATCAATATGCCCTTTCCGTGGCTCAAGGACTTGGGCAACGTCATCTCAGTTCGTCGTTCCAGGCGCCCCACGAAGAACAGACGCACACAATGCAGCTCGACAGCCACCGACTATGAGGGTGACGACTCCGTCCTTTTAGACTCCCCTCGTGCGCCTCCCTCTCCTCCATCAACTATCTCTTTTAATCCATCGTTAGTGCACCTTGATTGTGCGAGTAGAGAGCCAGGTTTCCAAGTTTCCACCAATGTTTCTTCCACCAGATACTCACAGGGTGTATCTCTTACTCGTGAAGCCTCCGACATGGCTCAACTAGCTTTACCCTTGGTACAGGCCGTTGCAGGTGCAATCCCACTTGTCGGTGCTCCGATGCAAGCGGCTATTGGTGGATTATTGACAAGCCTTCAAGCTATAGATGTGAGAGCGTATTTCATTGCGAGTGTGATTCTTGATTTTAAAGGCCATCACAGAGACATGGTCAGAACAATGCGGACATAAATAGCCTGACATTACGACTTCATCGATTAAGCTGCCATTTGTGCAACGCCCCACCTACCCGAGATCCTCTTGAACAATCCCGGAGGGATTCCTTAATTAGGTATACACCTTTTTGATGTGTGCTTGAATTTACCAGTTGAGTCGCACTCAGGGTACTAGAAGCGGCCTCAGCACAACTAACAAAGTTGCATAAACGTCGTCGTCTCGCATACGCATCCGTCACACAAACTATCACCGGATGCTCTGGTGAAATTGACCGTTATCTTGTAGAGTGTTTGGTTGTGTTCTACTCTCTAAAGGTTTTTTGCATTCACTCACCACTTTTGGTCAGTGGTCGTTCCAAATGCAAAGTCAAAATGACATCCACGAAATGCGGGACTTGATCATCCGCGGACAGTCTGCTGTGGGACCGACTGCAATGAAGTTATCTGGAACTATCGTGCTTGGCTGTGTGACGCTGGTAGACGCAACAGGACATGAGCATGCAATCTCGGTGAATTTCTGCACCTCATTTCAGGTCCGCCTCGCCAGTGTAACAATCTGTCTTAGGGAAGCTTACTCGTCGGATTTTCTGTAGCAACTCAACAAGGTGCTCGAAGCTCTGTTTGAACGTGACTCGATTGAAGCCCAAATTCAGAAGCAATATATGAAGGAAGGACAATACGATTTATGTATTGACAAGGGCACCCAGGTAACCCGGCTCTCAAGCCACGAATGGTCAAGCATTGAAGCAGGCACGAAGATTGTAATGAGGGTTATCATTGAACAACGGGTGGGATCATCTAGAGTTTCCTACAGATGCCATTTCTGTGGCGCTTGGAATCGCCTTCCCACCGGGTCTATTAGTCATTCGCTTCGACGGCAGCCTGGTTGCTCGATTAATTGGTTAGCACATTTTTCTTCTGGGTCCTGACCGTTGCGTCTAACAACCGGAAGTCGAGAATGCAAACGACGGTTTCAGATCTCCCGTGTACTTCGCAGTGCAAAGCAAAGTACTCGAACCTCCAGCATTGGTTCCAATCGCACGACTGACGCAGAAATGCACCTTATTCGCAACTTTCACGTTCAGCAAACTGTTGGGAATTGGCTATGCGATACTTGCATGCTCTCTAATCCAGACACTGCGGAGCTCAAATGTGCTATCTGCGATTCTGCCCGTCCTGGCACTGCTTCTGCCCCGGCCCCTACAGGTTTTGACTGGTCTGCTGCAGGGATGAAAGCCCCATGCTCATCGACAGATATGCAGACTTGTTCTGTCTGCATGCTGCAATCGTCTACCGCCGCAACTAAGTGTACAATTTGTGACAGTGCTTGGGATACGTTACACTGAAGAAAACGGCGTGGAAAATGAAAATGAATATTAATGTATCCTCCACGTCAAGAGTACTTATGGGATGCTATATAGCGCAATGCGAACTTGCTTGTCATCATCAGCTTGTTGTCCTGTGCCTCCTTCCACCGGCGTTGGTTTTTGTCATCATGTACGTCCCGGTTTTATACATGGTCGCATACAGATACATTTTCCATCCCACACGTACAACGGGCGACCGGTCGTATGTCTGCAGTTCCGCCGCCAAGAACTGACAACGAAGAGATAACTAAAGGAGGACCACGACTAGAAAGAACGCATACAGACGAGGACATAAGTAGCTGCAGCGGAAAGTGTTACAGGGGGTGTCTGGACTCTTGACTTTCATGTTAGTGTAAGGATTCAATCTTAAAAATCTATAAAGTAAGGGAGAATGGTATGGGGGAAACCGTGAGAGACGCGTATTCCGCGTATTCCGGCAGTGTCGGTTGTTTCGGTTGCGTCGGTAAGGTCGCTGAAAAGAGGATCCCATGTGGTTCTGTCAAGCGGAGTTTGAATTTGCAAAAACCGTTGTCCCTTACTATACGAGCTCACTGTCCAAACGTGGGAATTTGTAAAAATTGAGCCACAATGGGATTGGCAAGTGCTCACTGGCCCTCCATTTTGCACAACAACAATGAATTTTATATGTACTGCAACTGTGAATACATAATAAATAGTAAAAATTGAAGGACAACAAGGGATTTTGGGATTGGGATTTTTGTGGGGAAAAGAGAAAAGAGAACACCAAGCAAGTAGAAAAATGTGAAAAATGCAAAATGCAAAATGCAAAAATGTGAAAATGCAAAATTGCGAAAATATAAAGATGGGAAAAATTGGCAATGGGTAAACAGGGGAATGGGAAGATGGAGAATGGAAAAATAGGGTGAATAGGGAGGATGGGAGGATGGGAGGAAAATAGGAGGACAACAGAAGGATGGGAGAACAATGGGAGGATGGGAGGACAAGAGGAGGACAAGAGGACACAATAGGAGGATGAGAGGACAAGAGGATGGGAGGACAATGGGAGGACAATGGGAGGATGGAAGACAGGAGGACAGACAATGGGACATGGGACATGGGACACGGGACACGGGACATGGGACACGGGACACGGGACACGGGACACGGGACACGGGACACGGGACAATGGGACATGGGACATGGGACATGGGACATGGGACAATGGGACAGTGGGACACGGGACAACAGGACATGGGACAACAGGACAACAGGACAACGGGACACGGGACAACAGGACAAACAACAGGACAACAGGACAACAGGACAGTGGGACAGTGGGACACAGAACCATGGGACATGGGACACAGGACATGGGAGATAGGAAATCAGATAATTGGGAGGAAGTGTATGAGTCAATAGCATGACACAAACAGTTTGACTGAAGGTTACCTGGGACACTGGCTTGCATCCCGCTGGCCGAGGCACGAGGCCACGGGATTGCAAGCCTGCACGAGGCCACGGGATCGCAAGCCAGTGTCCCAGGTAACCTTCAGTCAAACTCTTTGTGCAACATCCCATAACTAAAACAAAACTATATAATGTAAGATGTAAGAATTTATTTATTTCTCACAAGTAAATAATATGCAGACACAGTGAGTCAAAGCACTGAAGGTGCCTCCAGCAGAGCACAAAGTGCTCTGCTTGCTTCCTGTGCCGAAGGCACAACGGGCTTGGACTCGTCTTAAAAAGTAAGGGAGAAGGGTGTGGGGGAAGGGGTGGGAGACGGGTATTCCGCGTAGCGCACATGGTGTCGCCAGCGTCGGTTTTTTCGGTTACAAGCCGCTTGGAATGCTTATTTCGCTAAGGTCGCTGAAAAAGGGATCCCATGTGGTTCTGTCAACCGGAGTTTAAATTTGCGAAAACCATTGTCCCTTACTATACGAGCTCACTGTCCAAAATTGGGAATTTGTAAAAATTGAGCCACAATGGGATTGGCAGGTGCTCACTGGCCCTCCATTTTGCACAACAACAATGATTTTATATGTACTGTAACTGTGAATACATAATGAATAGTAAAAATTGAAGGACAACAAGGGATTTTGGGATTTTTGTGGGGAAAAGAGAAAAGAGAACACCAAGCAAGTAGAAAAATGTGAAAAATGCAAAATGCAAAATGCAAAAATGTGAAAATGCAAAATTGCGAAAATATAAAGATGGGAAAAATTGGCAATGGGTAAACAGGGGAATGGGAAGATGGAGAATGGAGAAATGGGGTGAATAGGGAGATGGGAGGATGGGAGGACAGGAGGAGGACAAGAGGACACAATGGGAGGATGAGAAGACAATGGGAGGATGGGAGATGGGAGGACAGGACAATGGGACATAGGACAATGGGACACAGGACAACAGGACATGGGGCATGGGACATGGGACAATGGGACACAGGACAACAGGACACGGGGCATGGGACATGGGACAATGGGACACAGGACAACAGGACACGGGACATGGGACACGGGACAACAGGACAACGGGACAACAGGACATGGGTCATGGGACAATGGGACACAGGACAACAGGACATGGGACAGGATAATTGGGAGGAAGTGTATGAGTCAATAGCATGACACAAAGAGTTTGACTGAAGGTTACCTGGGACACTGGCTTGCATCCCGCTGGCCGAGGCATGAGGCCATGGGATCGCAAGCCTGTGTCCCAGGTAACCTTCAGTCAAACTGTTTGTGCAACATCCCATAGCTAAAACAAAACTATATAATATTTTTAAAATGTAAGATGTAAGAATTTATGTATTTCACAAAATTAAATAATATGTAGACACAGTGAGGCAAGGCACCTTTGGTGCCTCCAGCAGAGCATGAAATGCTCTGCTTGCTTCCTGTGCCGAAGGCACAACGGGCTTGGACTCGTCTTAAAAAGTAAGGGAGAAGGGTGTGGGGGAAGGGGTGGGAGACGGGTATTCCGCGTAGCGCACATGGTGTCGCCAGCGTCGGTTTTTTCGGTTACAAGCCGCTTGGAATGCTTATTTCGCTAAGGTTGCTGAAAAAGGGATCCCATGTGGTTCTGTCAACTGGAGTTTAAATTTGCGAAAACCATTGTCCCTTACTATACGAGCTCACTGTCCAAAATTGGGAATTTGTAAAAATTGAGCCACAATGGGATTGGCAGGTGCTCACTGGCCCTCCATTTTGCACAACAACAATGATTTTATATGTACTGTAACTGTGAATACATAATAAATAGTAAAAATTGGAGGACAACAAGGGATTTTGGGATTTTTGTGGGGAAAAGAGAAAAGAGAACACCAAGCAAGTAGAAAAATGTGAAAAATGCAAAATGCAAAAATGTGAAAATGCAAAATTGCGAAAATATAAAGATAGGAAAAATTGGCAATGGGTAAACAGGGGAATGGGAAGATGGAGAATGGAGAAATGGGGTGAATAGGGAGATGGGAGGATGGGAGGACAAGAGGAGGACAAGAGGACACAATGGGAGGATGAGAAGATAATGGGAGGATGGGAGATGGGAGGACAGGACAATGGGACATGGGACAATGGGACAACAAGACATGGGACAATGGGAGGACAGGACAATGGGACATGGGACAATGGGACAACAAGACATGGGACAATGGGACACAGGACAATGGGACAAGGGACAACGGGACAACAAGACATGGGACAATGGGACACAGGACAATGGGACATGGGACAACGGGACAACAAGACATGGGACAATGGGACACAGGACATGGGACAATAGGACACAGGACATGGGACACGGGACAATGGGACAACAGGACATGGGACATGGGACAACAGGACAACGGGACAACAGGACAATGGGACAACAGGACAACAGGACACAGGACACGGGACAACAGGAAACAGGACACGGGACAACAGGAAACGGGACACGGGACACGGGACACGGGACACGGGACACGGGACACGGGACACGGGACACGGGACACGGGACACGGGACATGGGACACAGGACACAGGACACGGGACACAGGACAACAGGACATGGGACAAGATAATTGGGAGGAAGTGTATGAATCAATAGCATGACACAAGCAGTTTGACTGAAGGTTACCTGGGACACTGGCTTGCATCCCGCTGGCCGAGGCACGAGGCCACGGGATCGCAAGCCAGTGTCCCAGGTAACCTTCAGTCAAACTGTTTGTGCAACATCTCATAACTAAAACAAAACTATATAATATTTTTTTAAATGTAAGATGTAAGAATTTACTTATTTCACACAAGTAAATAATATGTAGACACAGTGAGACAAGGCACCGAAGGTGCCTCCAGCAGAGCACGAAGTGCTCTGCTTGCTTCCTGTGCCGAAGGCACAACGGGCTTGGGCTAGTCTATAAAGTAAGGGAGAACGGTATGGGGGAAACCGTGTGAAACGCGTATTCCGCGTAACGCACATGGCGTCGTCAGTATCGATTGCGTCGCTTGCGTCGGTTGTTTGAATCCCTTCTCCCTTGGAGCGCTGAAAAAGGGAATGCCATGTGGTTCTGTCAAGCGGAGTTTGAATTTTGCGCAAACCTTCGTCCGTTAATATGTAAGGGTTGACTGATTTGGCAGGTGGCTCCAACAACAATGATGTATATGTACTGCAATTGTGTATACATAAAAATGTAGCCACAATAGGATAGAAAAAGAACACCAAGCAAATAGAAAAATATGAAAAATGCGAAAATGTGAAAGTGTGAAAATGCAAAAATATAAAGATGGGAAAATTGGGCAATGGGTAAACATGGGAATGGGATGGGAAGATGGAGAATGGAGAAATGGGGTGAATAGGGAGATGGGAGGATGGGAGGATGACAGGGGGATGGGAGGACAATGAGAGGATGAGAGGACAAGAGGAGGACAAGAGGACAGGACTACAGGAGGACAAGACAATGGGAGGACAATGGGAGGATGGGAGATGGGAGGACATGACAATGGGACACAGGACATGGGACACGGGACACAGGACACAGGACAATGGGACAATGGGACACAGGAGATGGGAGATGAGAGATGGGAGAATTGAGGGGAAAGGCATGAGTCAGTAGCAAGACACAAACAGTTTGACTGAAGGTTACCTGGGACACTGGCTTGCATCCCGCTGGCCG